TCTCTCTCTCTCTCTTTACCTCTCTCTCTCGCTCTCTGTCTCGCTCTTTGTCTGTCTCTGTCTCTGGCTCCCTCACTCTCTGTCCTTTTGTCTGTCTCTTTGTCTGTCTCTCTAGTCTCTGTCTCTCTATATACATGTATGTACACACGCACGCATGTGTTGTTACTGTTCTTGTTGGTATCGCCAAGTTGTTACTGTTCATTGCAGCTGTCCTTCTTGTACCTTTTCATACAACAATCTGCATTCAGGTGGCCAAAGCCCCGACTAAACGGCGAGTTCACAGCTTGTATCATAAACCCCGAGCCGTCAATTCTAAACCGTTGTGGGCTTAGTTGTTTCGGGTTGGAAGCTTCAGACAACCTGGTTGAGGTTTGCAGGGAAAGGCCATTCTTTCTGCGGGTAACCTGTCCTCCATCCGCCAGGCCACTGGCACACCAAAACCATCAAGAAAAGGATCGCCATTTCGCAGTTCCGTAATAAGGAAGGTGTTTGGCCATTTTAAGAGCCTCTGGGCTACCCAGTGGTCCTCTAGTCAATGAACATGACTTCCACCGTATGCTGTATTTGTGTGTATTGGTGAAAGCGTCCCAGGGCTTCCTGGTGAAGCACTACGCCGGATGGGTGGAGTACACCACCAAAGGTTGGCTGGACAAGCTCCTTGTGTGCATGTCGGGAGCTTGTACGAGTCATTTTCTATTTCAGCTCTTGCGATTGGGTTTGCTTGTACGGCTTTCTCATCTCGGGCCATCTTCGGGGCGAGGTCTAAGGAATTAGTTCTCCGGACATCCGGTACCATTGCTGAAGATCCACCAGCAGAGATAGAACCCCGCAGCGCCCTGCGCCCCTCAGCAAGCTGTGTGAGGAACATGAACTTGGCACAACCCCCGCACGCATTCAAACCGTGGGTGTCCGAGGAACAATGACCGGCTCCTGCCCGAGTGTGAGGAGCTGATCTGCCACTCGCTTAACTACTTCGGTTGAGGTGTGCGGTGTAGGGCAGAGGATTTCTCCCTGGTTCTTAGTAGGGAACGGGGGAATGGATCCCATGATAGCCCCTCAAGGTCCCCTAAAGTAGTCCCAATAACCCATTCCCCCATTCCCTGCTAAGAACCAGTCAGGTTTAGCTGGGTTTGCTTCACTGAAGAGCAAGCAGCCTGAAGCTCGGAAAACGTGGTTTGTGTTGGTCATTGGTTGTTCCCCAACCCTCGCATCCTGCGGTACTTCTCTGGCTGTCCAGGGCAACACCAGGACAACGCACAAGGGGAGTGCACCCCAAATGAGAGAGCTGGCGATGGTACCGGTTGGTTTGGGGCCTTTTGAGGTTTTGGAAAGTAAAGTTGATGTGGAGCACGTGCCGAAGGTGACTCGACCTTTCCCTTCGTGGCATCTTTGGGCGAGGAGGATCCCGGGAAGGTGCCTTTCCGGTCCATCAGCAAGAGTCCAGGCAGCAAATTTGGCAGGTAGTTCTCTCAACCCTCTTGCCTAGAATATGGCTCACGCACAACCGGGATTAGGGTTTGCCCTGTTGATGGCGATTGTTGCCGAACCATGCATGAAAGATTCAGAGTCAGAGGTGTAGTTATATTACCTGCAATACTGATGGTTCAAATGCCTCCCCAAGTTTCCTCCATGACAGTCCAAAGCTTACGAGCCCAACTTCCGGCGTACTCCGGCGAGCCCAAGCCGAGGAAGTACTGCACGGATCTGGAAAGCCTCCTCGAGACGCTCAACACTTGCCAGCTCCACTACATACGCTCCCCTTCTGAACCTTTCTTGGGGAGTTGGCAGAAGAGCTTTGGGGTTTAAGGCTTTAGGGTTTGGAGGTTTGAGGGCTTCAGGGTTCAGATATTTTGGGGTTAGGCCTGGAGGGCCTTGGGCTCCAGGGTTGAGGGATGGAGTGTTGCACTTCGCTCCGGTGCTTTCCAGGCGTCAGGACCTGTTGGATGCTTTGCGGAAGGGTCTGCATGCGTGCAGCTTGTGTGTATGCAGCCCGTTTGGCTATGCGAAGTGCCGTTCAGGGACCAAGCCTGAGGTTTGGAAGGTTTGGCACAGGTGAAACTTCTGCTGATGTTCTCCGGCACTTAAGCTTGCACATCCTAGTGGTAGCAGCTTAGTTGTACCTGTTTTATTTTCTTAGATGTAACTTTTTTCTACCTACCCCACGTACCCCACGTAGCCCACCTGCCCCGCCTACCCGCACTACCGCACCCCGCCTACCCCACCCCTACCGCACTTGGTTCCAACCAACAAGGCGTGCGCATAGCCCAAGACGAAAAAACTAAAGAGTGAATACCCAAGACGAAAACCCTGAGGAGTGAATTCCCAAGGCGAAAACCCTAAAGAGCGAGTCCAGCAGGAACGTTTTCCCGAAGACGAAAACCCTACTAAGGAGTGAATCCAGCAGGAACCCTTCCCGAAGACGAAAACCCTAAGGAGCGAATTCAGCAGGAACCTTTTCCCGAAGACGAAAGCCGTAAGCAGTGAACCCAGCAAGAACGTTTGACCGAAGAGGAAAACCTTTCCTGCTAAATCCAGCAGGAAACTTTAACCCAAGACGAACACCCTAAGGAGTGAATAGGCAAAAGCCCTACGGAGTGAATCCAGCGGGAACCTTCAACCCAACACAAAAGCCCGAAGGAGTGAATACCCAAGACGAAAACACTAAGGAGTCCTTAGGAGTGAATTCCGAAGGCGAAAATCCTTCGGAGTGAAAAAGGTGAAAAGTTACATCTCAGAAACAAAAATTAAAAAAGTTGCAATTAAGATACCTGTTTTGCAAGCCTCTGCAGAGAAATGCTGTGTTCGGAGCCAAGAAAAAGATACAACTAAGTGATCGCAGTTTACCCCTTGACCCTAAACCCTCAGCCGCTTTGCTGCTTTCTTGCCAGGCTGCTTCAAGCCGAACGACTTCCAGGAGCCAGGCATCTTCGACCAGGGCCTCGTCCTGGATCAGATCATTCAGCTCGAGCCTGAGAGTTGGGAGTCGCAGCAGGGCCCAGTCTAGTCAAGCCGACACCGCGAGAGTAGGTCAACGCTTTCGAATGGTGCAACATTCAAGCTATGCGTGCTGCCACGTTTACTGTGTATAGCCGACCCTTCTGATTGTACACGCTTTCGTTTATGAGCTTTAGAGCTCACAGGTTTTGAGGGCTGACACCAACCACCACGTTGGCAAACCTGACCTCACTCGAAATCGTGCCCATTGACCTGCTGGACTTTTCATGTGGCTTGCCCCAAGACCTTGTTTGAGAAGGCTGTGAAAACTGGTACTTTCGTTGCTTCTGCTTGTGGAAACTTATACTTTGTAGACCGTTATTTCTAGACACCCGGCCCTGTCAAGCAAAGGAGTTGTTCGTTTGCACATGGGCTATTTGCGTGTGATTGAAACAACGGATGCGAGCACCCCGCTGCCGCCCAAGCAGCAAAAAAGCTGCGCTCGCCGGCATTTCTGAATGCCTAACTATAACTAGGCAGGCCGTGTCGGAAGGATCTTCGAAAATGCTAAACTTGAGGAGGGCTTTTTCAGCACACCAAACATCCTGAAACGCCAGATCTTGAGTCCTAAAACCCCATAGCCCGAAACCTCACAATTCCTTATGAAGGTGTGGCACCATCGAGCTCGTCCGGATAATGCATGACGGCTATCCTAACCGCTGTCACTTCGAGGAGATCGTGGGCCGCTTCAGCCACTTCCGCGCAGTTAAGTCCAAGAATCAGCAGTCTTCATCGACGTCGTTGTTGTTGCCAGCATGGTTTATGCTCATTGCTAGTTTTGCTGTTGACTGTTGTTGCTTTTTGTCGTTGGCATGTTTTCTTTTCCGCGTTAGTTCAGATGATGTTGCTATGCATCGATTCACGCTACATGGAATCACGATGGCTATTAACATAGCGAGCACTCACGGGTGTTCATCTTACTAAGTCTTTCGTCTGCTATCATTCGTCTCAATACTGTTCCTACTGCTACGCATGACTGCACTCATTATGACCAGTATCATTTCCCCTGCTATAATACCACAGTGCTGTACGCGTATAGCTAACTATTGCGATGCTACATCACTTTTCGCCACTGCGTTATTAGCATTACGATTGTTATTGTTGGTACTGACCTGGTGCTGTTCCTTGGACAGTTGTGAAAGCTGATAGACCACGATGCTCATCATTATTTGCACTGTCATCGGACCATCAGTGCTTTCTACTATAATACTCGCACTCTTCGCCCTAACTACCGTGCCCCCGACGTCGCTTGCACAACCGGCGGGGGTTCAACCACAAAGCAAGATGTTTGCTTCGCTTCTGCAGCCTGGTTGCATTGTGGAAGTGGGGGGCCAGATCTATGCTCATATTCTGATTTCATTGTTGCGGTTCCTCACTTCCTTTTACCCATCCTCCGAGTTTCTCGCTTGCTTGCCCTGAGGGAGCCTTTTGCCGGAGAGCTTCCAGCGTTATGGGATGCGCACATTCATCGAAGCCTTGATGTTGGCCTACGACGTTCCCAACGAGGCAACTTTCGCAAGAGTGTTGTTGGACGCACATGTGTTCGTTGTCGATGCACCACGACTCAGTCAATGCGACAGCAACACGCCTGGTAGCTGCTATCGCCAAGGGTATTTAGGGTGTCTTTGCCTGAAGTTCGGGCTGGTGTTGAGGATAAGATGGGGTGAGAATCCTCGCAATCCTTTGCGCAAGAGACGTGGTTTTGGGAGGGGGCTTCTGTTTCGTGATGAACCAATCGCCTAGATCCCGGCCTTGGGCACCTTCCACTTCCCGCATCTTCGGAGCAACCAATAAAAACTCTCGTCAGGACTGGGAGCTTGGCGTCTCGCGGCTTTTCCTCAAGGCCGGAGTGTCCCAAAGACTCTCTGACTCTCTGTATCCTACGGCTGCAGAGCATTGTCTCTGTCTTTCGCTCTCTCTCTCTCTCACACTCTCCCTCCCGCCGTGCCTTTGTGTGGTGCGCCTTCGTTTTTGAAATCATGCCCTGTGTTTCGAGGTTGCTATCGTATCAAATAGGTGTTAGTCTTGCGGTCGACATCGTTTGTTGGTTTTGCCATCGCGTCACCCTGGACCCTCTAGCATGCGGCAAGGCTGGGCGTCTGAAGGCCCTCGAAGATCTACGCTCCGAAGGCACAGGATTGCTTTTTTGAGTGTTCAGGGCTTGGAGATGCTGTCAGGAGTCTTGAAGATTGCCGAATGTGGCATAGATGAAACGGCTGGAACAGTTGCTGTTGCCGCTGTCTGATCCTTGTTTCTTTTCAGTGTATGTGGCAGCCCCTTAAACCCTTGCTCCGTCTGTTCGGCCGTGGCGGTACAGTATGATCAAAACCTCTTGGTCGTGTAGCATGCTTCACTCATGAGTTTTGCTATAACGTTGGCGCAGCTGAAAAGAATGGAACCACATGGTACATGCCGGCGGTGGCTTTGCCGATGTGTTACTATGATGCAGACAGGGAATGATGCAGAGATGATGGCCGTTCAGACAAACAGTATGCAAGCAGAGCGACACAACAACAGTAAGTTATGCTACAACAAGTGACAAGAGGAGTGTAGATCCAGATACAGTTATCAGAACTAGAGACAAGGAGACCCTCGTGAAATAGCTTGTGAACACACACATTCTAGGGCTAAGTCAGTATATATATATATATTTATAACCATCAGTTTCGTGCTACTACAGGAAGCCGATGCCTGTCAGCGGAACACAGGAGTATGGCAACACAGCAGCATTGCAAAGTTTGGAGCCAACACAAGTCCATGAAGACATAGTATTGGCACGCCCCAAGCAGGTGTACGGGAGATACCTGAGTAATCTCATGTAGTGCTCTGGATATAGATGTAGATGCCTCGGTACACAGGCATGGTGATACTGAACCAACCGCAGCTTTTTGCAGTACACCAAGATTAGAAGTCAGTAGAAGACTCTCTCCATCAGCGTGCAACCGCATTGCTAAGGTCATACGGCTACGGCAGTGCCGTAGCATCGTGAAAGATTCTGCAGCGAGGTAACGATTTATGAACAGATGCAGCTTGACTGGTGCAGTCGGAACCCCAACGGTTCAATCCAAACCAGCTACTGTGCCCCTCAAGCTCGAAGTTGATGTCCTTTACTCCCCGACCCTGTCGAGGCGCTGTCCCAGATCCTGAAGCGCTTCGGCGCATCGTGCAGGGCATCATCCGCAAGAGGCACAGACCCGACGCTTGATGTGCAATTGCTGCAACGAGAAGGACCTCAACAGCACCTGCAGTGGCAGTGGCACTGCAGTGGCAGCGGCAGTGGCGGCGGCAGCAGCAGCAGCAGCAAAAGTAGTAGCAGTAGAAGTAGTAGTGGTAGAAGTAGTAGTGGTAGTGGTAGGAATAGCAGTAGTAGTTGTAGTTAGAAGTAGGCGTAGCAATAGGAGTAGTGGTAGCAGCAGCAGCAGCAGCAGCAGCAGCAGCAGCAGCACGAGCAGGAGCCGGAGGTAGGAGCAGGAGCAGTAGCGGTGGCAGCAGTAGTAACTGCAACCAAACTTTGGCTTCGTGCCCAGTTTTGATCAGAAACACCCCGCGGCCTGGTTTAGACGCATTCACCCACAGATCCGCGCAGCAGACACCCACGATCGTACACACGCACAGCCTCTGGGCAGGTTGAGCCTTGTCCAGTATATGGCTGTAGCCAGACATGCAGGTGGATTCGGGCAATACATGCGGTGCAGCTTTGCCACTACCTGCCGAAGTGCCCCGGTGGCAGCCAGAAGGACAGGCAGTTGCTAGTTTCATCTTCAAGTTTGCAGACTCTGGTTTGATGGCTTCGAACTCTTTTTTCTGTTTCTGCAAGCAGCTTCCAAGCCGAGATACCTGGGTTCGGTTCCCACGGTGGTTCAAGCGCTTCTCTCCGGCTGCTTCCCTTTCTACCCCAAGGCTTCTCGAGGAGATTCGCGCAGCCAGGGCCTCCGCAGCGTGGCGGCGGCCGCAAGAGTTTTTGCAGAAGATGCTATATCCCTATAACTTACTCGCAGCCTTGTTGTCGTCTACCATGCTTCTTTGGTTCTTAGTTTTACTTCATCTGTTTTGTCAATAATCAGACTCTGGCTTTGAATTTCGTAGATACGACGTAGATAGTGCATAGATCGTTCACGCTTTTATCAATACATGGCTTTATGTATACACACTGTCAGAGGCTCTAGAATCGGGCTTGGCGTCCCACATATGTTCCTGTATGGTCACGAGTCACGTGTTTGTGGATGCCTGGTTACGTTTCGTAACCTGCCGCTTCCAATTTCCCGCAGGTGTGTATGTCATTGTATACCATTGGCAGTTCTGATGTAGTTGTATATTCCAGCTGATGTCGCAATAGCGCTGTACATAATGTACAGATCGTTCTATACTGTTACAAGACATCGGGATCATGTATTTTCATTCTGTGGTATTGCACTGCACATTGATGCATATGGGCTGCAGCTTGCGACATGGCATGGTTATGCGCCAGTCCTGTGTCATGTCATGTTGTCTCACGGAGTCGTAGATGCTGTCTGAAGTCTCGGATTAGTTATGCAGGGTTGTTGAAGTGTTTGGTGTTTCGTGCCGCCTCCACACCACGGTTTTCGACTGGGACACGAGGTTGGCCACAACTGCGCTGCTGGTCGGTCGGTTGCAGCCGCTGCTCACAACAGCCAGGCGGGTTTAGGGGAGTGGATTGCAGTGCTTGCGTTTTGGTTGAAAGTTTGGGCTCAGACTGTTCATGCTTGGGGGGCTCATGCAGATGCAGTGTCTCTTGATTGAGGGGCCGACGATACAAATGCAGCAAAAGCAATACTCTAAACAGTGACAAACAGGAAATTATGAGGGGTTCAGATCATGAGTGTTCTGGGAGTACAAGAGACAGAAATACGAAGCCAAAGAGACTGTTCTGTGACGAAAACTCATGCGGGCCGCATTTTGTGTCGAAGCCATTGTGCTCGCTGGTGGAAACCGCAGATGTTACATGCTTTGTACATGAGAGTTGCTCGGGTAGTTGGTAGGGCATGGCTCGACACCCATGCGTGCGATGCAAGTCGGCGTCGTCCACCAGAAACGGCATGTGCAGGCGATGTTGGTTTTGCTCCCTGTCTCTCGTCTGTTAGGATGTTTCTTTTCGACAAGTTTCGAGCAAACCAATCTTGCTAAAGCGTGCCGGCCGGAGTCTCGACACGACGCTTGAAACTAAGCACGTATGAAGTCGTGAACAAAACAGCGGAGATGGGCCCCGACCCACATCCACCCACCCAAGCAAGCACTGAAGCACTGCTCTGCTCTGAAGGGAGCGCCTGAGCCAACGGCGGCTGCGGGCTCGGCGCCGGCTGAAAGCTGCCATGGGCGCGGTGCGGCTGACCTTGTGGGTGATGGCGGAGGCTCGCTTCTCAGCCAGCGCCCACATGTTTCGAGTGACAGGCTGTAGGCGGTGGGTTGGAGTTCGGGATGTCGCAGCAAAGCAGTCCCGACCAGAGTTTGGGTGACTTTGGGGAGCTGAGCAGTATGATGCTGTCCTTGGTCAAGGTACGCCTGCAGCGCATGCAGAAGGCCATGCGCAGATGGTGGCTGCTGCGTTCACGGACTCTCGGTCTGGACGGGCTTGGCCTCGTAGAGACTTTTCGTCTTCGAATGACTTCAGAACCTCCGAACGACATAGTATCGTTCTCGGAAAGTGTTCTTAGAGAGCGGCATGCTCCCTTAAGAACCTGAGCCCACCAAAGGCTGGATACCTGGCTGAGGGAGAAAGCCGAGGCGGGACCTGTGCCTCTTTAAGCCCTTTGACTGGCGCCTGACACCGAGGAGGTTCATCCGCTTTAGTTGAAGGGTTAAGCTTGGGCCTTCTGCGCTCAATAACCGAAGATTGAGCCGAGGACCTTTGAAACAGCAGTCATCGTTGCTGACTGTTTCTTCGCCAGGCTCTGTTGGAGGAGGAAGAGGGGCGCCAGAGACTACAAGAAGAAGAACGCCTGAGGGCAGAGGAAGAACGCCGTAGGGCGGAAGAAGAAGAGCTGCGAAGGGAACAGGAGGAGCGTGAACGGGCAGAGGAAGAACGCCGTAGGGCGGAAGAAGAGGAGCTGCGAAGGGAACAGGAGGAGCATGAACGGGCAGAGGAAGCGGAGCGGCAAAGGGTAGAAGAAGAGGCAGAAGAGGAGCGTCGGAGGGCATATGAGGAAGAATTGCGCAGGGCAGAGGAGCTGCACATGGCGAAGGAGGGGGAGGCGGGAATTTCTGGAATTTTTTGCCGAAGCTTCACATAGCCAACCTGCCTCGTCACTGTTCAGAACATGGGTTTCAGCAGCCGTGCGCCGTTCTAGTCAGGCTTTGCTCTCTGGAGCACCTGTTGACCCGAGAAACGTGGGACCTCAGGTAGCTAAGTTGGGTCCGGCAAATTGAGCTCTGCGCCCCCACGCGTTCCAGGAGCGGGAGCGAGAAAGAGAAGTGCAGCGCCAGAGGCACGAAGCAGAGCTCCGACGCCAGCACGAGCTCGCACGAAGGCACGACGAAGAGGACTCTCGGCTGAGGACTCGGAGAAGCAGTCTCTTTTTCGAGTTTCGAAAAGAACGAGCCAAGGAGAGAGACCAGCAGGAAGAGCTCAATCTTCGAGAGCAGCCGCAGGGCCACGTTTGGTTTGTGTCTGCAATGCAGGGCGTCACTCACTGCTCCACGGAGACTATGCCACCGCATGGTGCTTCTACATCCTCCTCACATCTTCGAGAGGAGTCGCAGGGCTGCGCTTGGTAAATGCACTCTTGTGACTGTGCTTGTAACTTTGACTTCCATACGTCCGTCGAGGGTCGATGACAGCCGCCCCGACTTTCTTAAAGTTATGTGAGTTTGAACCGTCTATTGCCAAGGCTGAGATTCGAAGCTGAGCCCGCCGACAGACAGACGGCCCATCAGGAGCATGATCAGACATCCTCCGACGCGGAGGAACTCTTGGACGAGTCAGAGCCAGAGATGTTCAGCCGGGCAGATCCGGAGGTCTATCGGAACAGAATAGACGAGCCGGAAGCAGAAGAGCAGGAGGCAGAGGAGGAGGAGGAACAAGAGGAAGGGGAAGAGGAGGAAGAAGAGGAAGAAGAGCAAGAAGAGGAGGATGAGGATCACCGGGAGGAGCTGGAGGAAGAAGTGGAGCCAGGGGAGGAGCAAAGAGAAAGGAGGGAAGCTCACGAGGCCTTCTGGCAGTTCAGCGTCTAGCAGGGCGATGCATCCAGTGATGGCCGAAGCATGGAGGGTGTATAAACGGGGGGAGGGGGAGGTCTAGGAAGCAGCAAGGCATCGAGAGGGCCCAGTTCTTTGTCAGCGGAGGCGCACCCTCGGGAGGATCACCCAAGGTTCTCGGATACAAAGCACGCTGAGGAGGACTTCCGCTTGACATGCAGTGTTGATCTTAGTGACTTTTAGCAAACTTATGCTCAGGGGGTCTGCCAGTTTCCCCGGTGGTCCCTATCCGTGCAGGGCACGCAGCCAAGGCACCAGCACAGTTGCCGAGACGGTGCAAGCGCCCAAATCAGTTGGACCCCTCGGGTTTCCGCTAGCAGTCTTAGCGCCGTCTTTGAAGCCTTCTGACGTGACAAAAGGAGGTGTTATGTTATCCGAGAAACTGTGAGCCCCGAAGCCTCCAATCCCAATCCAGGAGCAACGCAACTCGATCATGGAGGTGGCTTCTCCCTGCCGGAGTTCTGGCAGCAGGCCTGGGATTTCTGGGGTTTGTGGTGTAATTATACTGGTAGCGATTGGGGCCCATGATGTAGGCAGGAGAAACGTAGCCTTCTCCCTTGCCCAGCACGAACTGGCCATCGCTGAAGATTTGCTTTTGAAGGCAGTCATCACTCAGATGTCCGTCTTTGGGCATAAGTCTGGGAGCTGCAGCCATGCATGATATGTCTGTGTCGAAACCACGACCCGGCTAAGATTGATGCCAAGGGAGACAGCAGAAGCACATGGCATTTAGTAGATTATCTATGTAGAAACTTCAGACTGCACAAAAACAAGTGTCGTGTGCCAAATACAAGCTGCTTGCAAGGGCAATGACGGCCTGAGAATACCATCCCCACGCCCCACATATACTAGGGTCTCCCAAGCCCTGCTGAACACGAGCTTTGGGAGGGTTTACTTTAGCCTGAGAGTATGATGCTCAACTACAGTAGTTCGACAGAGCACGTGCGACTACAAGAAATCCGCGAAGTTAGAACTCACCAGGGTATCTGGAAGATACGGAGTTCAGACTGCATGAATAGCAATAGTAGTACAATAACAATACTAATAATAACAATAACAATAACAAGCAATAGCACTACTACTACTACTACTACTACTACTACTACTGCTACTACTGCTACTACTACTACTACTACTCCTCCTACTCCTAGTCCTACTCCTACTCCTAATGCTACTGCTACTGCATGCTACTGCTACTGCTACTGCTACTGCTACTGCTACTGCTACTGCTACTGCTACTGCTACTGCTACTGCTACTGCTACTACTACTACTACTAATAATAATAATACTAATAATACTCATACTAATACTAATACTAATACTAATACTAATACTAATACTAATACTAATACTAATACTAATACTAATACGAATACGAATACGAGTACGAGTACGAATACGAATACGAAGACCAAAACAAATACTAATACTAGTACTTTTTCTAATACTAATACTAATACTGATACTAATACGAATACTAATGCTAATACTACTAATAGTAAGATTAATAATAACAGTACCAATATTACTAATATTAATAGCAATATGTTACTTTCTCCATCTTTCTCCCGTTTACCTGCTCTTGGCCCTGCAATGGTCCGGTTGCGGCTTGGGATGTGGGGCGTCCCGGGGCTGCTTGCCGCCACAGCCCTCTTTCTCTGGAGGCCGGGGCTTTCTTTTTACCTGGAGCCGCGGAGTTTAGGGTTTAGGGGTTTATGGTTTAGGGGGTTTAGGCGGGTTTCGGGCTCCGGGTTTAGCGATTGGTTAGCTGTTGTCGTTTTCGTCGTTTTGTCGTTTTCGTCGTTCGTGCCAGTTGTGATCTGCGGTACATTTTGGACGTGCCGGTGCGATTGCCAATCTGCTCCTGCGGTGTCATGACAGCTCAAGCATCCCATTTCCCCGCATGCTCAAAAGCCTCAATGTGGCAAGGCTGCATAGAGGTCCCGAGGAAGCTCTTCGACGAAGCCCTGTGCACTGGCCATCGCTGTAGAATAGCAGGTCTACAAGGGTAGCACTGGGGAGTGGAACAAGCGTTAGCTCGAATGAGAGTCTTACTTCATGAAGTATGAGGTAGAACCAAGAAGCCTGCACAAAACAGTCCTCGAGCAAAACTGAACCCAGACCCTGAACCCTATAACTTCCCTAGAAAATCCCAATCCCACCCCCCAACTTCCTGCAAACTCCGCCCTAAACCCTAAACCCTAAACCCAAAACCCGGACTTCAGGCCTCGGCCTCCCTGCCTGATCCCACGGATCCGTGGCGGCAGAGCCGCCGCCCTGGCAGCCCGGCCCTTGCCGCCGATTACGGCGGAGATGCGGCGAGCGCCCCTCGGCGCTTTAAGCCAAAATCTGTGGGGGGCTGAAGAAAAGGGCCAGTGTGAGGTTTTGGGGATGCAGGGTGTTGAAAGGGGTCGGGCGGTAGAATAGGAACAGGTAGCAGCAGGTGAAACTGCCATCAGGAAGTTTTAGTACTTGTTGGACTCAGGTACTTCAAGACTCGAGTCAGGTCATAGCTGTTGAAGGACTTTGGCATGTAGTGGGCCGAGCTGCCTCCCATGAGGTCTTGATCATGTCGTGTGCGGTTGGATGAGAGTTTCGAAGGTTTGAAAACCAGCGCATCAAGGGCAGGTTCATGTTTCTGCTGGCGTGCCGGGCCCGGCACAGCAAGAAGTCTACTTTGTTCAGCAAAATTCGCCTGGCTCCTTATTCGGTGGGTTGCTCTTGCGAATGGGTGTCATGAGTCATGATTGTACTTTCAGGATTGCAGCCCCATTATATTCTCACCTTATCCGACAAAGTGCCGTCCGTAGCACGACTCCTGCATGCAATGTACTGTCCACGATGCTACATCTTACACCCGAAACTGCCGAATCTCAAAAGAGTGAACTCGCATGTACGGACACCAGAAGAGACCTTTCATCCTAAGCCCAGAGACCCTGAGCGCGTGTAATCTCCAGAAGTGAACGGCTTGAGGATCGCCACATTGAAGGATGTGGGTGCCTCGCGAGATGTGTTTTATGATACTCGGCTCGAGTGCACCTAGCGGCCGAAGAAAGACTCCAGCAACATTTGCAGTTCAGTTTTCGAGCAGTTAGGATTCAGGCCCTAAGCCCTGAACTGGAACGGGCTGTGCGTTAGTGAAAGCCTGGGCCGCCAAACCCTGACCTCTAGACTTTTCTGTGCTGGAAACCTGATCAGAAAACACTCCTCAGACTCCTCAATCCAAGACTGGCACCTGGGCGAGAAGGCCGGTGAACCTCTGCAAACCCAAGCTTCAGACCTAAATGCATGCAAACTGGGCACATCAGTAAAAGCTTCAGCATATGTAGCTACATGCAGCCTTAAAGTTAGCAAGTTTGTGCGAGCCGTCCCTTTCTTTCGATTTTCATCGCACTGTCAATGCAGCACAACCCCCAGACACAAGCATACAGGCTGAGACCCCATAGCAATGACAACAGTAATGTGTTTAGCTGTTTAACTGCTGACTGTTACCATCATCTCTGTCGCCGCCGCCACCGCCACCATCATCATGATCATGATCATCGTCAGCAGGAGCAGTCGTCGCCACTGCCGTCGTCTTCTCACCGTCATCATCATTGCTTTCACACGTTCACAGCATGAAAGCCGGAGCGAAGCTATCCGCCATTTCATTTTCTCTCACCGGTAGCTCAGGACGTCGTGGATCCGGAGCTGGCCAGTCGAGAAGAGCAGGCATGGTGTGTATCTTTCGGGACCTTTCAAGCAGAGGTCCGACCATGCGATCTAAACCCGAAAGCCAGCTGAAGCCCGCACAGCCGGAAACCCCCCAACCCCCAAAGCTTGGCCAGGTAGGCTACTTCAATGCTGCCGGGGCGAATAACAACGGTTGGCAGCTGGAGTCGCCAGGCCAGACACAGCATTGTCTAAATCAGGCACAAGGATTTGTGAAGGGTATTTTATAGGGATTTCTTCAAGGCTTTGAACAGGGTTTCCGAGATTAGGGGGAACGGCTTAGATCCCATGATCTAGAGGTCGTCCAGTCTAGGTCGACGCCGGGGTCAGTTTCTGGCGTCAGACTTGAAGCTGCTCCTCCTGTTTCGTGGTTTTCTGGGGCCACCAGTCTGAGGCGTAACCAGGGCCCTGTCAGAGTGTGGTAGCAGCTTAGGTCTCGAACTGTTATTGCACCGCGGAGCTGTGGCTGTTGCAATCTTTTTTTCTGGTAGCTGACGCACGGCCCTCGAATCGGCTCGCTCCCAGAATTGTCAAAGGAAGATGCTGCGGAAGAGTTTCTACTCGTTCCTAAACATCCCTTACCCGAGGAGCTCGGAGTCTGCTGGAGCCAAGCATAAGCCCTTTTTCCGTTTGCAGTTATGGGGATGTTAGAGGGTCAGGGGTTTAGGGACTTAGGGCTGGGAGCTCGTATGGCTATTGTCCATGTTACAGTAAAGCAGGCGTTTTGAAACTCCCATTTAAAGCCTACACGCAGAACTCCAGCAACCCTTCTGAGCTCCGCGAAATGAGGCCCGAAATCGGGGCTCGGCTGCTGTCTTCCTTGCACCTCGGCTTGGGACGTCTCTCATTCATTCCGGATACAGGGTCCTGAACAATTACTTCTGCTATTCCTGAGGCCACAGTTATCGTGCAACGTACCCCAAAAGCCTATTCCAATCCTTAAGGCCCGCAGATTGCGTCAGGGTTAAGGGCTGCAAGGGCTCCAAGGTGTTTGGAGGCTGTACAGGTCTCTGAGATAGTGCCCAGAGCCGGTCCACATGCTTTAGGGCGGACAGAAGCACACGACATTCGTATGAATGAACAACTAGAAATCAATAAGTAAGCATTATATATATATATATATTTATATATATATATTTATATATATAGAGTGTTATATGCACCAACGCTCGCATATCGTACACACACATACATACCTACATACAAGCACACATGCACTCATGCACACGTGCCTGCATGCAAACACACCCACACACACACACAC